AAAAAGACAGAAATACACCAACAGTTTGAGGCTGTCTACACTGGGTGTGACAAAGCGATTGTTGCAAATCATTTTGTCAGTACTAGGGGTGTGTGATATTGACAAAAAATAATATCTCAATATTTTCTGTGATTTTATCGATAAAGATAATTAGACGATATTTTCATATCATGACGAGTGTGTTAATGTGCTGATATCTTAAGGACTACTGTGGACAGCTGACTCCTAAAGTTTTTGATATTCTTCATATTCTGTGTGCGGGTCAGTTCACAGCAGTGATAGAAGTGAATCATTTCCAATAAGTTTAAATTGATTTTTAACATTTAAGGGCATTCTTATCTTTATAAAGCCATTTTTTTCTAAAAGTGTACATCATCTTTTGGGTCAAATTCTTACATTTAATCAGTAAATTATAATAATAATAATACATTTAGGCTGTTACTAAACAAATTAAATCAGTATCAATAAAATTCATCTTTGCAGAAGTTGCATATGAAGTGGCATTTAGATGCATTTACACATGTTAATGCAGCTCAGAGGGACATGGAATGCTTTAGCCTGCAGTTACAAATGCATAAATAATGTTTTGATATTTAAAACATGAAATGTTGAATACTGATATTTGAAATTAGTAAAGAAATTTAAAAGATACTTTAAATGTGAAATTAAAACCGCCAGTAGGTGGCAACAAGTCACTGTTATGTGAGTCATTGCGATTTAACCGAATCATTTACACGGTTGATTCATTCAGAAACAAAAGGTCATGTTGCTCAGAGACGCAAAACAGTCCTGTGGCTGTGTTTGTAATGTTTTTTTGTTGGCGAAATAGCACAGAAATAGCGCAAAAACAGCCAATATGGTGTCTAAAACTTAAGTCTCTTGATATTAACTTATTGTTTATTAAACTGTTGTATAAAATAAATATCACATTTGTAACCATGCTGATTTTGTAAGAAAAAACGGCACTCTTTGTGTGATATTGATTAACTATATGAACTGTCATGATGTCTCACGAGTTCAGTATTTGCGCTAAACCTGCGCAGATTTGGCCTGCATGAACTTCCCCAAGAAATTAATGAGTGAACATAATTTACAAAAAGTAACCTGCCAAATTGGTTAGTGATTTGACAGCGTTACCCACCACAGCTGGGTGTCCACCGGGTTGGCGCCGGGTTGGCGGGTGTTAATTTCAAACCCTGTTCGCAAGTAATCGCACATGCTCAGTTGATCTCTCTCTCATTCGTTGTCTGTTTAGGCTTGTTAAGTGCAAATCTATGGAGCAGTACAAATCAGCATGGTACACATTATGTTATCATTACTAACTTATTTAATATTCAGTACACATGCACGAAGTGTAAAACGAGCAAACCCTATGAAAAAAGAAAACACGCAAAAATGGCGGTTGCTGCGGTTCTTGCATTCCTCTGCGGTTTGCTCGTATTGCGATATTGTGGTTATCGCGACAGTCCTAGGCTAAAGGGGTAAAAAATAATAATAATTAGTAATAAACAATATATACAAATAATACTAATATTAATTATATAAATATACTAACATGCTAATTAATTCAAATAAACCATCATTAAAAGGGTTATTTATAACACCTTTAAGGTTCTATATAGAACTTTCAAAGCATGGTTCTTTATGGAACCCTATAAAAAAGGGTTCTATTTAGCACCAAAAAGTGTTTTGCTATTGTTACAAGCTGAAGAACCCTTTTTTTTGGTACTGACTAGAACCATTTTTCTTAAGAGTGTATGGCATTGGTAGTAGGCAGTTGCTAGAGTGTTTAATGTGGTTTGATGTTGCTATATGGTTTCTAGATGGACTGTACTGCTTAATTAAACAGCTTTTGATTAAGAAAGGCAAGAAAGTCATTTTTGCCCTTTCACCTCAAGGCACTCTGGATGACTGGCTGCAAAAGTCTTCCACTCTTCCAGGGAGTAGTGCTTCTGGATGGCTGTGAAGAGAGTGTGCTGAAGGACAGAGCAGAGAGATGTCTGAGTGGGCAGCGAGTGTCTGGCACTGAGACAGACAGAAATATAAGAGCCTCTTGATCCCAGTGCATGGAAACAGGACACAGCTAATTATGTTTCAGTGAGATCTTGATAATCACAGAGATAAAACATAGTGAAACAAGACTTTCCCTGGGTTATATTGCAAATATACAGGTACTGTGTTTAATCAGTTACTGTGCTTTGTTTAAAGAAGCACTCACCTTGCTGAGCACCTGTGCCATCTCAAAAGTGCCGGTGGTGTCCATGTTAGCAGCGATGATTGGGATGCCATTGTAAGTCTGCTTTGAGTTCCGGAATGTGAAGGTCCTCTGCAGGTCAACCTTCAAGAACGAAACATGTAGAGGAAATAACTTTCCAAACATACAAACAGTACATGTGACAGTCTGAAAAGCCTCATTTTATTGGATAGGCCCATAATCAACCCAAACATCCTGTCCTATTCTCCTGTCCCTGTAACCCATTCAAACATGCACTCAAATATATTGCCACTAAAATTAAAATATATTTAGACCCATCTAACTGACCCATATCCACTGTAACAACTGAACGGAGGTCATTCTCCATGTCTCGCAGATGTTAAATACAATTTTCCTAGGCAATAACAAATATTTTTATGTTTAAGCATCTGATATAACAATATGCGGAAGCAATTTGTAGAAGAATTTCAATTTAATGCTTTAGAAACAATAGTAATATGCTATTATACACACACACACACACATATATATATATATATATATAT